TCCCTGGCTTGAAGAAATGTATGTTTTGAAGTAATTCTTTCTCTGTCCTGTGCCACACCTCAAAAGTTAAGACATCAGCTGGGCGTGGTGCCTCATGCCTGTAATCCCAGCACTTTTGGAGGCCAAGGTGGGTGGATCACCTGAGGTCAAGGAGCTCAAGAACAGCCTGGCCAACACAGCAAAACCCCGTCTCTACTACAAATGCAAAAGTTAGCCAGGCACTAGGTTGTATGACATACCATTTGTATTAATTAGGTTGATAACCAATTTAGTTTATTAGGACTGGTACTATGGAAAAGACATTTGCTGACTGAAAGCATGTTTGATACCTCAAAAGACAATGCTGACAACACCGTTTTTACAGTGTGCTTACAAAGGAGCAAAAAACAAAACAAACCCCAAAGGCCTTTTTTTCCCCAAATAAGAAATACAAATGTACAATAAACTTCAGTGCTTGCAGCAAAAGCAAGCATTGAAGAAAAATGCTCTAAAGTATTTTTCCTTAAAAATACCCAGCCCTGGCCAGGCACAGTGGCTCACGAGGTTAAGAGATCGAGACCATCCTGGTCAACACGGTGAAACCCCATCTCTACTAAAAATACAAAAAATTAGCTGGGCATGGTGGCCTGTGCCTGTAATCCCAGCTACTCAGGAGGCTGAGGCCGGAGAATTGCTTGAACCCAGGAGGCGGAGGTTGCGGTGAGCAGAGATTGGGCCATTGCACTCCAGACTGGGTAACAAGAGTGAAACTCCCGTCTCCAAAAAACACCCAGCCCAGATTTTTTTTTTTTTCTTTTTCCAACCTTTTTGGGGCAGACTATCTCTGGGCCATCAGCAGTTTTCTGCCTTGCCTGGAGCCTCCCTAACCTTTTATCTCTTATCCAAATTGTTGATCAAAAGAGCTCTTTCAAAAGAGTTTAAAAGCCAGTATTTACAGTTTATGGACTGTACAGTTAATCTTATTAATCTCTAAAAAAACCACGTACACCTGAATGCCTATCAAGTGGCAAGCACTAGGACTGGGTTATCAACGTAAAGAATGACATTTACTTGAGAGTAAGGATTTTTTAGAGTTTTCAAGATGCAAAGAAAAGGCTCAAGTTTTGGTTATCCAGAAGTGAGAAAGAGGCACTCCAGGTAGCAGGACAAAAGCACAAAGGCATGAAATAGCATAGCACTTTTGAGATGGTGTGCATTTTAATTTTAGTGTATAAGATGTGCTATGTGAACCTACTAAGATTATTGCCAAATGCAATGTTCCAAAGCTAAGAGACAATGATTTCGACAAAAGGAAAAGTTGGGGTAATTTACTCAAATAATCTTTGTAAGGGAATGGGTGAAAATTCTTAGGCAACAAGTACCAAACTTAGTATTTTTATTGAGCTCAGAAAGCCTGTAGTCCCCAGTAAACTGTAATATTGCTCACCTGTACCTCTGAAGCTGGCAGAGCTAAGATGGAGGTGAAACTTGGACAGGTACTGAAACCTAATAGGCCCAAATGAAATTGTCCAGGCAGAACATATGAATGTATGAAGGCAGTCAGAGAAAAGTAATTTCAAATATTAATAGCATTTAAAATGCCATAGGACAGTCAAGAAAAATTGAGAGCTCAAGAGGTTCCTGGATTTGGCAATCAGGAACAATGAAGGCACATGGTGATTAAACTCACCAAACAAGGGTGCTTCCACTCCCTTGGAAAATGGCCTCTTTCTTATTAAGGCACGGTGAAGGGAGTAACATTCTGAAAATTACCTTAAAATCTCACTTCCTATTTAGTTCCTTTCGTCAGCAGGAATAAAAACTGGAGGAGGGAATCTTACCCGTAACAAAGTAACCCTTGAAGACATTCAAGGATTCTTAATGCTCACTTTGTATTCAGAGTGACCCTATTACATTCCTTGTACTATTTATAGTTCATCCAAATTCAGTTGCTTAATAACTGAAAAAAGAAATCCACAAAAACTAGTGAGGATTTAAGGTACACAAAGAATTAAAAACCCAATCTTGTTTTCGCCTACAACTAAGACTTCAGGAAAGAGCACAACCTTGACCTCAGGTTCTTTTCCGGTCCAGCAATCATTTCCTCCTAGCATCCAGTATGTGTTCAAGAAGTAGGCCGGATTTTAGCTGCAAATGTGTTGGTTGAATAACTTCCCACCCTGTACACCACCCAAAAGGAGAAGCCCTTTAAAAATTTTTGCTACTTTTGTTTTTGACTACTATAACTAGTTTGCCCAAGTGGGAAAAACGAAAAACAAACTTACAGTCTACCTTACTGGATATACCAAAATAGCCCTTAAAAACTGCTGGTTATTTCTCCTATCGAGGTTTCAAAAGCTAAAAGTATAGTCTGTACTACTACAAAAGTGCTTCAAAGTAAGCTTCAATATTTGATAATGATGCAGGAACCTTAAAGAATATTTACCAGAAGTGCTTACAATTGCATCTTTTATTTTTAAAAACCACAAAAAGGCAACAGAAAGACAACAGACTAAAAGTACTGAAAACAGCCCTACAACTACATACAGTTTAAAACATGGCTTTTATTCTGTATTACCAATAATGCCTAGTGCAAAAAAAAAAAAAAAAAAGGCAGGCCCGACGCGGTAGCTCACGCCCGGTAATCTCAGCATTTGGAAAGGCCGAGGAGGCGGAAGGATCACCTGAGGTCGAGAGATCTGCCAATACAGTGAAACTTCCCCCCACACCCCCGCTACTAAAAATACAAAAAATTAGCCAGGCGTGGTGGCGGGCGCCTGGAATCCCAGCTACTTGGGAGGCTGAAGCAGGAGAATCGCTTTAAACTGGGAGGCGGCGGTTGCAGTGAGTTGATACCGCACCATTGCACTCCAGCCTATGCGACAGAGCGAGAATGTCTTAAAAAAAAAAAAAAAAAAAAAAAGCAAATCTCAGCGACAAAACTGTATTCTTAAAGGATGATGTACAGATAGGAAAGTGGAATAAGGAACAGGAAGTACAGAAGGAACATAAAAGTCTGAAAAGGGCGCTTAAATTCAGATGGCTGTTTGTACCTTTTAAAAGCAATTAAAAGTGTTGCTGGGTGTTATTTACACCTTTGCATTTGTTTCCAAACTTTGGAAATACTTTTCTATTTCAATCTGAGAAACTTTTCTCAGAAAGTAATCGACCCTCCTCGACGTTGTGCACCCAGGAGCTAGTCTCCCCTCGCTACGCTTCGCAGTGGCCCTACAAGACTCCTAGTTGATTCCGAGTCCCATGTCAGGGACCTACCACCTTACGTAAGTAATACTCTGTGGGGAGAAAGGCAGATAAGAAAATAGGGCGCCAAACCTCCTCCAAGAGCCGTCACACCCCACGAGGAGTGTCCTGCGGGGGCTTTCCCCTGGGAGCCACAGCTGTTCTGCCGTAAGGGGGAGGGGGAGGGGAACGCTTTCCAACAGTCATCTCTTCCTCTTCGGGCCGCCAACGCAGACCGCACCACAGTCTCCTCCGCCCAAGCCGTGTCCCCTCCCCCGCCCCGGCCTGGGTGGGAGCCAAACCCCACAGGAATGCAGCCGGGTCACATGCGCTGCGGCGGCGGTGGACGTGCCTCTCCCCCCGCGCCCCAAGGAGACCCAGCGCCATCTTGCCCTGACGCAGTTAGAAAAGTCATGGGAGAAATCCTGTCTCCTCCTCCGCGCCAGCGCCCCAAAGTTTCGCAGAGGCCGAGCCGGGGCCCTCACCTCGCGCAGGGACAGGAGAAAATGGTCAGGGAAGAGCCTTGCGATTCGCTTCGCCACTGCTTGGGATCCAAATCGGCCGCGGCAGCAACGATCACCATCGTCACTTCTCCCTCTCTACCTTTGCAACAGCCTCCCCCTACGGCTTTAGCCCCACCCGCTGCTGCAGGATGAGGTCATCGCCAGCCAACCACTGCGCGCCCGACAGGACACATCAGGCGCCGATTGGCTGCCAAGATCGCCTTTGCCTCTCCCCACTCCGCTCCCCCCGCGCTCCGGGGTCGCTGCGGGGCAAGGGGAAGACGGAAACCATTTCGGGGAAAGACCCCGAAAACAAGAGCCGTAATCGCCGTGTCACTTTAGTGGGGAAACCCTTTATTCTTTGGTCTCCCCCTTTTTTCTTCGAGATCACTGTCTCTGTCCCTCCCTCGTTTAATCACCGCCACGTACAGTAATTCCCACTCCCCTCCCCGCACAATGTCCCACCGGTGGGGAAATCCTTCCCCAAGACCAAAAGAAGTATAGGAGGCAGCGAAGGCAACTGCACCGACGGCAACGGCAGCTTTTTACCCCGAAACACGGTGGCAAGGAGGCGGCGCTGACGGTGGCTGCATTTTTCCTGCGGCTTCTCCCCCCGACCTCTTCCGTTTCTCGCTCCTCCATAGAGACAGCGCTGGAGTCGCCAGCTCCGCTTTTATCCGGTGCCTGGAGCCTGCGCATTGGAGCCTCCTCGGCCCCTAGTGGGCGTCGAGTGACACCCCAACCGGGTTCACCCTGCGCTGGAGGCCAGACTGGGCTGGGGGAGGAGGGGGAGAGAGACGCGGAGACGGAGCTGGGGTTGTTTGGGAGGGGGAGAAAGTGTATCACTTTCGGAGGGTGACGGGAGGGAGGTCGTTCCCAGGCCGTGTCCTTGTCCGTGCACCCAATAGTGGCATGCCCAAGCTCACCTATATCCAGACTTGAGGGCCACTGGGGGGAAGGGGGAAAGAACCAATCCCACCGAACACCGACACTTCCTCAAACCTTCCGTGGATTGTTGAGTGCATCTGTTGCAGAAAGACAAGAGATTCCTTCCCCCTCACCGCCTCCAGTTTGCTATCTTCGAGCCTCCGCGGAGAGGCAACGGCGGGCGGCAGCCCACAAGCAAAATGGCGCCGGGCAGCTTCATCCCCTCCCCCTCTGCCCCTGCGGAGCGGGACGGGCGGGCCCCGTGCACTTGCCGCCGCCGCCGCCGCCGCGGCCGCCGCCGCCGCCGCCGCCGCCATTTTCCCAGAGCGAGAGGCAGTGACACTGAGCGGGCGTAGGGGGCTGAGTCGGAGACCGTGCCTGAGTTCGGGAGCTGCAACAGAGGGGCCATAAACACTCCGAGCAGCCTCGCCGGTGCCTCTGCGTTCCTGTTGACTGTCTGGGTGCCCCCTCTCCTACTCCTCGGATCCTGGTGAAGAGGCTGCGCGCTGCTGTTTGGGGAGGGGGTGTGTGGAGCCGGGTCCTGTGTCCGCAGTGGCTGCTATCTGGGGGTCGCCTGTGCGCGGAGGTGCGGAGAGACTCCTTGGGGGTCGAGCACATAACGGGGTTCGGGTGTCTGGTGTGTGAACATCACAGGTCAGTGCCTGTCGTCTCCGTGGGAGTTCCTGGGGCTTGCGGGGTTGGGGGACTTGTGTTTCAAGGGGGAGAGAGGTCTCTCATTTTTATCCTTAAGCTGGGGGAGCCGACGTTGACTCTCAGGTGTCTTTGCCGGGGCAAGACGTTGCTTGCTTAAATCGAATTTATCTTTTTTTTCCCCTGATCCTAGAAATGGAGCATTATGGCGGGTTTTAGGGTTGGGGAAGGGGAAACTGGCAGTTAAACCCCCTTGAGAGTGGGAGTTAGGGAGGGGGCGCACTCCTCATTGGCAGCAGGTTAAGGCCGCTTGAGTGGGGAGGGAGGCTTGTGACTGTTAGTAAGGTTTGTGTTGAAGTGGTCCTAGGAGCTGCCAGCGCTTCCTTATCTCAGCCGTGTCTTGTTGAGGTGCTGAAAAGCCATATAGGCCCCATTTTCTTCTTCCATTTCTTGACGGGCAGTCTCTGGTATAATGTGCACATGAATACGAAGGGACTAAGAAGAACGCCCTGGGCAGCTCTCTTTGTGGGAGAGCCGAGACAGCTAGCTCCTCATCCTCTCCAGAAGAGGGTAAACCCGCCCCTGTGGTGGTCACCCCAGTACCCAGCCTTCTCAGTCTCCTCCCCCACTCCTTTTGCATTACCGCCGTCCTTTACTGTGCCGGAGCCTTAGGATCCACAATATGGCTCATTTCAGAAAAGCTTATTTTGACCAGGGGATTGGCACAAACCCTGTGGCAGCAGGCACTGATGAGAAACAAACGGTTCACTGTGCTAAACGGGGTGGGGGTGAGAAAAAACAATCCAGAGTGCTCTCTTCCACTGGCCTTAGTTCCATATAGATCCGTGTTTGCTGGGCTCTGTCTTAAGAATGATACAATTTAAAGTCAAAGAGAAATCGCTAGACTTAGCTCTAGAGTAAACCCCGTTTTGCCTATTTTGTTCCCTTTTTGGAGATGTGAATAAGGTTAGGTGTTTAGAGTTCTGGAGACCTTGGATAGAATTAAGTGAGGTGCATTCAACTCTGGGCTGGAGACATGAATACCTATTTGGAAAATAGTCTGCTTTTTCCTTTAATTTCTGAGATGGGGAGTAAAAACTGAAATTTCCCTCTTTTGTCCTTTACAGATTCTAAAAATGGCGGCCCCAGGCTGATGTTGTGGTAATCTAATCAGCTCGGGTCCTCCACACCCCATGCAGTGCATTTGTCTGCAGCATATTACAGGCTTATTATGTTTACAAGAAAAGACTGGGCTTTTTTCCCTTCCCCGAGCCAGTTACAAAAATGTGTTGATATTTACTGCAAATTTCAATGTTGTGTTTTAGTTGATTGATTTGATTCGTTTTTCCTGAAAGGTAAATTAAATGTCTCCACTTTTGAAAAAAAAAAAAAAAATCACCCAGCCTTGCAAATTTCAGTGGTGATGATGGCTACTCTTCATCATTAAAAAAAAATTATTTGTGTTCCAATAATAGTTTTTGTTTGGTTCAGTTCAGCCATCTTTTATTCAGTATGCCAAAGTAAATTAAAATGTTTAATAAGTATCTCAGTACAATCTATTTTGTATGATTAAATGTTTCAATCTAAAGTAAGACATTTCCCAACCACCTCTTGACCCATTTTGTGGATTTTGGTTTTTGTATTCTGTTTCAGCTTAAATTTTAGGGAGCTGTACAAACAAGCCTAAACCTGTTACTTCATTGGGTGTAGAGATGCTATTATATTTTGCCATCCATTTTCCCCGTGTATTTAAGCTTTTCTTGAGAATTTTCAAAGTTGACGGTGTATTTGGTAAAGTGAAGCTTCATGCTGCTTTTAACAATTGTCTTAGGGCATACTATCATCATTATGTAAGTTAAAAGTAAGGCTCTGATTCTTTATTTTTTTCCTCCCCAAACATGCTCATTTACCTATTATGGGATTGTGGAATTTAGTATGTTTTAATAGACCTTAAATAAAAACATTACCATAATAGGGTCTCGAATCCATTTTATGCTATTTTCAGAATCTTATAGACTGAGACTGAAAATTAAGTAGTGTCAGGTGTCATTTAACTGTATTTTTTAAAGTGTGAAAGGTTAGTATTCACTTTCATAGTGGGAGTTCTATCTTTTTGGGCTGAACTAAGCATTGAGATATGAGTGGGCCATTAATGACACTTAATAACCATTCTGATTGTGGAGCAACTGAAAGACGATTGCCTTTAAATCCAGTAGTACTTAAAAAGGTTGGACAGTATACACTGTTTCATGATTCTCTTATTCCATTGTAAGTATTTTGGAGCAGCATTTACTTCATATGGTATAAGGTTCTAGCCTACGAAATAATTAGAGAAATAACTGGCTCAGGGATTTTCTACATACCAGTGGGTTTCATCATGGAAGACTGAGCACACAACCTTACTTAGAATTTTTGAAATATTTTATTATAAAGTGAAATGTTGGTGGGTAGTGGATGAGTTTGTATAGGGTTTGGGGTCAGTACTCATTTGTATTTTGATCTGAGTGAGTATGTAAGTCCAGATCTTTCACTGCTGTGTAAAGATTGTGCATTTATTTTAAAGACTAGGTGATTAAGGTCTGTGGTTCAGAAGCTTGGTACTTTAAACTTACTATTCAATATACAAAACCATTGTATTCTTATAAATTTGATTTATGTAGCTATATGAGGGAACACTACCTGTGTCCATTGTTTTTCTTCATAGAGACCTCAGGTCTAGGCAGACAAAGCAATTGAACTTATTTGGCTTCAAATGAAAAATACCAAGTTAGAAATTATAGGAAAAACTGCCTTCAGTTTACTAGCTTTCTGCATGTTGGCTTGCTTTAGTGCTTTAGGTTTTGTTTCTTTTTGTTGGTGGTGGTGGTTTTTGTTTTTGTTTTTTTGATATTTTAGTTCCTGTAAAATTAGACTGGCTTTTTTTTTTTTTTTTTTTTTTTTTTTTTAAGTATTGTACCTTATTTTGAATGGTTACTTTATAAATAACAGGGCTATAAATGTTTGCTTTTTTCCTAATTGACTATGTATGTTTTAAGTTAGGATTCTCTAGGCAAATTTATTAAAAGGTTAGGCATAATTTTTGTTCCCAGAGAGTTTTGAAACAATTTGGCCCCTTGGGGGAAAATAGTCAAATGGTCTTTGTTCTTAGGATAGCTGAGTTTGAAGAATTAGTTGTTTATGTGTTTAAGTGGATTTGTAGAAAACTATAATGTAATTGGAGAGTAAATTTTATTTTTAGAGCTTACATTTTGATCATACTTCCCTTTTGCTGTTAGTGTAAATGAAAGGATCTCTCTGATGATCCCAGTTTAAGTATAGAACATTGACAGGTCTCCCTCCATTTCCCATCAAGTCTGTAAGATTGATAACTGTCCTACAATTTTGGCTTGTCTGAATTCCTCACAGCTTCCAACAAGAAATCTTTGCCATATATGCTCCCAGTAAGCTCTAGGATTTCTTGAATCTATTGAGGAAGTAGGAAGAACAGCTAATTAATAGGAAAAAAATTTCTCCATCTACATATTTTAGTGGTCTTAGGGAAATTATAATTTCTTAAATTGGCTTCTTAATTTCCAAAAATAATATACTCATTTTCATTCTTCAATCTCGTAAAGAAATTGGTTTAATGTTTAAAGGTATGCTTTATGTAAACCCTAACAGCTCTGCATTTGTACAACCATAATATGTTTAAAATGTATAAAACCAACAGAACTTTGAACAGCTATCAAAACGAGTTAGGAAATACTAGTATGCAGTTTTCTCAACAGATGCTATTTTATGTTTACTAGTTTTAAAATATTTTAATAATGTGTAATAGCTTTTATCTCCAAAGAATTTATTTTTAGCAGATGGTAGGTGCTTAATTATTTCTTGGAAGCTTTTGTTTAAGCAAACACATTTACATCTCAAATATATAGGGTGATCAGGGACTGTTCCCTGTTACATGTTAGAATGAATGTTAAATACTTGTATTCTGTGAGAATACAGTTTTCCCCCAATTTCATGATAGATTATGAGACTTTTTAATATTGAAAATAGAATTATTTTTACTTTATGGTAAAATTACTTTTTGTGTTCACTACAAGAGGTATACTATTTGAAATATTACCGTATGAGTGTTACTGGTTTTTAGGCTGGGTTTAAAATTGAAGTGGCTCATATTTACCTGTTTGCAATGTGCAAATGTCGGGAGGAGCCTTATTTTTTCTTGATATTGAAAGGATAATTTTTGTATTACCTAAAAATTTACTTAATATGGAGGAACAATATTTGTTGTTGAAATAGTTTTCTACACTAAACTGGAAGTAGATGGTATTTAAACATCTTGCTATTAAACAAATTCATCTTTTGTCCGTGCTTCAAAATATCATTTCAGCAAAGACTTAATGTAATTTGTTTAATAGCAATTGCAAGAGATAGGAAGTAACCATATTATGATGCAAACAAATTGGTTTTTGTTACTGTGAACTTCCATGCTAAGTGTGACATTAAAAATCAAATGAAGGTGACCCAGACTAAGTTAATTAATCTTAATTTGTATCTTTAAGGATAAGAGAAGTTTTTATTAATTATTGGTAACTAGGATGCTTTTTACTTAAATCAGAGTCAGGAAAAGTCAGGAAAAGTAGTTGGCCTTATATTTCACTAGAAAACACATTTTCACTTGATATGAAATCAATTCTTTTTTCCCTCATGAGCAGATCATAATTGGATTTCATTTTTGGACAGAAAAAGTTTTTTTATTGTTAGGTGAATTTTACAGTTTTATTGGAAATCTCATTTGGTTATTTGCCAAAACTATTTAAGCTTTTGGGGGTGTTAGAGATTCAATGTAGCAGG